ATTTTCATGAAAATATTGTAATAAAACATTAATTTTATAACTATTTCCATTTATTTTGAGGTATTGCCTTATTTAACATAGTTACCTAAATTGTCAGGAAACGTAATGTTCTATGACAAAATGGAGGTCATTTTCGGATTCAGCCACCAAAAAACATAAAGATTACGTGGAATAACCAAAACAGCTCTTGAAAAATTTTTTTTGCAGACCTGTGAATTTTCAAATTTAGACATATATTTTCTTGATAACTTGACTTTGGATGGTGTCAACTTTATGGATCACTGGTGACTATTAAAAGAACTTGATCCATGAAATGGAACCTATACATTGGCAAACAGTGGCAAAGGTTTCCTCATTTCTTTCTTTAGCTCAAGCAATGCTCTATATCAGGGGTCTCCAACCCCTGGGCTGTTAGCCTACTACCATGGCTTCTTTGGAACTGGGCCATGTGAACAGCTAGCTGGTGCATGGGTGCTTGCACACCTTCACTTGTGGAAGCGGAGGGTTGGTGCGCACACCCACCAGCCTGCCACTTAAACAGGTTCCCTTCTCCCCAACCCCAACCCCTGCCAAGCCATAAAGGTTGGAAACCATTACTCTATATGATTATTTCACGTATTTTCATCAAATCAGAAGGCAAATCCCATAATTCTGTTTTTCTTTGATATGCTAGAATGGCTATCTTTAGAGCTTTAGTTTCTTTTTCTTTATATATTCCAATTCTTTACTTATAGTATAAATTATAATTGTATATAAGCAGAGAAGAGTTCAGTTTGATTTTTTTTATCATCATCTTTGAAATATAATATTTTGAACTTTTAGAATTTTGTGTCAGTAAAGAGCACCAAAAACACTGTTGAAGGGATTTTTCCTGAAGCTACCTCTACCATCTTCCCTTTATTAATATATCTTTTATTAATCTGAAATCACAGATGTAAGATAAAGAAATCATAGGTAGTTTGAAAAGGGACATTCTATCAACAGCTATCAGACAGAATGCTGGATTAATTACATTTTTGTGAGATCAGAAATTTCATTAATTTTCATTCTTTTTTTCCCTACATATATTAAAAAGAAAAGGAATAAAGGTAGTTATTGCATGTCTTCCTAGCGTTCTCCCTCCAATCATTTAATTAAAGAGTGTAAACCGAATCTCCTTTAGTAATACAAAGTAAACTGATTTTTTTAAAGCAAATATAGCGAGCAGGTGGCAGTATGTCTCTGAAAAATCAATAGCATTATAAGAGTAGTCGGGCCAAGTACAGTAAATAATAGAGAAAATGTTAAATAAGAAGAAAGAAATGGTGTAGTGTTGCGTGATATAGTGTGTGGTGTGGTGCAGTGTGGTATACCATGGTTTGGTATGATATTGTTACCATAGTGTAGCGGTTAACATCTTGGCTTAGAAACCAGGAGACTATATTCTAGGTTTCCCTTAGGCATGAAAGCCAGCTGGCTAACTTTCTTACTTTCTCACAGCCCAACCCACCTCATAGGGTTGTTGTTGTGGAGAAAAATACGAGGCAGTAATATTTAATATATTCACCACCAAGGGAGGGAGGGGATGGAATTTAAAAAAAAGGATATGTGCTAACCAATAAAATTGTCACCAATGAAGAATTGAGGTGATATATTAGAATTAAAAATATTTAAAGCTGATCAGATTAAAATTTTAGTAACTATGACTTTAATACAACCACAGCAGGCTATTTTTAGTTTTTTTATTGTGCCCTATCACAGTAATGATGAAAGAAATGTTTCTTTGTCCTTTAAGCCAAGTTAAACTAATTTCTTTAATATGTCTGTCAATAAATATTAAATTTTAAAAGCAAGTAATACAAATAATGGTGTTAAAAGTACTGTCCTGTCCTGTATAAATCTATGCTCAATAAAGCTTGGCAGTCATCTTTTAGGATTTCACTGAGAGATAATTTCAACTCCCTTGAACTGCTAACAATAGTACTTCTTTATCTAGATTTTTGTTGACAACTTTCTGCAATAATTTCAGGGATTCCAAGTTTTTAATATGTGGAATGATGAAACCAAGAAATTCTAATAACAGATTTTTTATTAGAAGATTTATTCACTACAACATCAAAATGAATCCAGAAGGAAAAATGGTTCATGGATCTGAAAATTAAGATGTTAGATTTTTATCTTTCCTAATACGGATACTAAAAATACTAAGAACTAATATTTTAAAAAATAAGCTACAAAGCAAAATAATTTACATTACATAATGCTATTTAAATAATAAATTGGATAGTATCTAACCTTTTGCAACATTTGCTTCATCTAAAACATGTTTATTATTTTGCAAGCCATCTAAAATATGCTTAAAAAGGGGGGAAAGGAAATCCTAGATATTGTGGGGTTTAAAAAAGAACATCATTCTGGTAAATTCAAAATTTTCTATTAAAGGTACAAAAACACATCAAAAGAATGCTAATTTGGAACTTTATTCAATTTTAATATAACTGCTCAATATATACTAGGTAAGTTTTCACTGTCATTCTTCTCATTATGCACAGGAATGCTTTCAATTTATACTACCAGCCCTACCTCATGCCATTGATCTTTTACGGGATGCCATTGTAAAAGTAAAAGAGGTTCATGATGAACTTGAAGATCTACCTTCACCACCACCACCTCTTTCTCCTCCTCCAACCATCAGCCCTCACAAGCAGACAGAAGACAAAGGTGTACAGTGTGAGGAAGAGGAGGAAGAGAAAAAAGATAGTGGAGTTGCTTCAACAGAGGATAGTTCCTCCTCGCATATAACTGCTGCAGCCATTGCAGCAAAGGTGAGTTGAGGTTCTGTAAAAAGGAGCACATAAGTTTCTATCTCAGGTATTTTCTGTATATAGACAGAGATCAATCAAGAGTGAAGCTGATTTTTTTTTCACTCTGTAGCTACAATAATAACATTTCTAGATGATTAGTCATATTTTTTCTATATATATTATGCTTCCTTCACTTTTTAAAATGAATTATAAAGATATTCAGTCATGCATCTATCAAAAGGGGAAGTAAGATTCTCAATTGCTGCTAGTTTTTTTTCCCATTTGAAATGTTTATGCCACATTGAATGCCATTTCCATATTCTCATAGTCGCACAATGTGACATTTCAGTAGGTTCACAGGATTGCAAGAAAGGAGAAAGAGGAGAGAATGTGCTGTAGGTATATAAAAGACGGTTGTGAGTGATGTCTTTGTCTTGTCAAACACCAATTATGTGGGAGTGGGGCCTTTTTTAGCACTAGTTCATTTATAATCATTTTCTGGAAATCGTGCAGTAGAAATCTTTTAGAGTACCAAATCCTCAAGTTAATTATATATTTACCAAAAAAATGTCTGCTACTTTTGCAAAATTTTCAATAAATTTTGAGAGCAGTGCTCAAACTTCATAATGACAAGCTTTCATTAAAACTATTAAATTTCGTATAATTTTTTGGAAATTATCTCAGCTAAGTTTCAAATGATTTATTTCCAGTAACCAAATTCAGAATTGTAGTATAGTTGTTTGGGTCATGATATCTGTTACAGCTCACTGTATGAAGTAAATGCTGAAACCATTATGTCCAGATTAAATTATTTAATCAAATTTTAATATATTGGAACCTATCAATTGACAACAGTAGAAGCTAAATATTTATTTATAGTTCATAATAGTATTTGAGATCATGGTCTCCCCAGGCTAACTCCAGTATTCTAGACAGCTCTTTTACACTTTCAGGCAAGGAAAATTCTCGTATGCTTGTTTTTAGGATAGCAAACATATGTCCTATTAAAATGCTACAGGTAAGTGATTGAAAAAAATCAGCTTACTCCTGGGCATTGAAGTCTGTGCAACAGAAGGTTTCTTTTGAACCTGTATTAGTTTCCATTTTTTACATTTATATGTAATAATTTCCCATGAAGAGCTATAGATATTATGCTGGTGGAAGTGGGGGTATTCCCACATTTATTCCACAACTATCTAGTAAAGTAGGTTGATCTAAGAAAATTACTGGCCTGTAGCCCTAATTCATCCAGTGAGCCCCTTGCTTGGATGTGGATGTGGACTGTGGGTCCCTCTAGTTAAGGCTTTTTACTCATAGGGATGTCACAAAGAAATCAGCATTTATCTTTACTCTGTAACAGGAAAAAACCCGATTGGGACCAGGAGGTACACATGTGTACCTTCTTTCCTTAATATATGAGGTGAATTGGTTAATAGAATGAGACTCTAATTAAAAACGGAAAATACCTGAGAACTAAACTGTGCTAATTTAAATGTGTACTTTCTTTCGTTAATATCTGAGGAGAATTGGTTAATAGAATGGGACTCTAATTAAAAACAGAAAATACCTGAGAACTAAACTGTGCTCATTTAAATATATTGCATTTAGGTGTGCCACCTATTTTCACCCTCGTCTCCTGTACACCATTTTGCTTGTTTAGCTTCTTATTTTCCTGCCATTGCATTCATGGTTATTATGTATTGTACATTAGAAGCATCCATCCTATACCAGTTCTGCTGTTATCATGGCAAAAGGTGAACATCCCATTCCTGGTCTCATCTGTTATCCCTCTCACTCATCAGACAGTGCAGGAGAACCGGTAAGACACACCTACCAGAATGTTTCGCACAAATATCTTCAGTCAGATTGCTTGCCTTCTCATTGTATGTTACAAGGAGCTACAGTTATTTTCTTTATTCCCAATGACATACTGTTTTGCTCTCTGAGCAAACAAGTTTTAAATTTCCATTCTGTCAATTTTTATTAAATAGATAATAATTAACATTTATTTTAGCTGTGAAGTATTAATTTTAAATTTTATTGCTCTCTGATTGAAGACTTGTTTTGGTTTAGATTTATTTATCTCTGGAGACTGCTCAGAAATTTTAAACATCATATTTGTATACCATAAAACTAAAATATTCTTCTGTACTTCAAAGGAGCCACGGTGTATGGATTTTCAAATTACTTGGCTTTGGATAATATGCAGATATTTCTGGTAGATGCTTTTACTGATTATCCAATGCTGATTTTTTTAAAAAAACACTTGCTCATCATATTCCAATACTCTTTAAAAAAACTTTATCACTCACAAAATAGAAACTGAAGAGAGAATATCTAAGTTGCCTTGCATATATTTGTCATTGTTCCCTTCTAAATTGGTCAAGTATCAAATCTTGTGTTGCATTATAATTAGAATCTGAATGATAACCCCTTTCTAATTCTGAAAAACCTATATTTGCTAGCATTAGAAAGCTGTGATTATGAGTATCATTAAAAAACCCTTAGCTAAATAAAATTACCATGAATAAGCTTGCCTCCCTAATATTTTTTTTCCTATAAGCAGCTAGAATATTCATGTCTGCACTACGGTTGTTATAGGTAGACAGCTTCTATTTGGAGAAGAGCCATGCTGGGACGGGTGTATGTATCTTCTTTTCCCTTTTCCCTTTTTACAATTCAGAAAGAAGGTTCTTTTCCCAGTCCCTTGCAAAATATAGGAGGATAAAGGAAAGACGTATTGTGCGAAGGGGTCTCTTCATTTCCTTGTAGTAGCCTAACTTATTATTGGAGGAATGGGAATTGAAACACAATTCCTTCACAAGAAATAGACAGTTAGACTTTACTTGCACATCCGTAAGAATAAAATTAGCTGGAATAATTTTCATTATAATAAAAAATATAGTATTTTCTTTTATATAAATGCTGATTCAGAAAACAAACTGGTTATAGCCCCAATTTTCTTTTTTTTTTGTAAAATACAAGCTAAAATAAGTCCCTTTAGCTTTTAAAAACTTGTTGTTCCACTCCTATTGTTATAGCTGATCAGTTCGTCATCATCCTAAAAATTCTGTGAACATACTCATGTGTAATGAATTCATTTTGTTGATTAAGAAATTGTCAACTACAAGCAATAAATAAATAAATACCATGCAAAGTAAAGTTGCCTTCATTGAACTTTGATCTGGCAGAAGGAAACATCCAGATTGAATACTGAAGAGCTATGTTTTTTACAAACACAAATGAAATGCAGTAAGCCTGTTGCCTTTTCCATCCTTCCTCAGGTTGGATTGGAACGGTGAAAGGGATTTTTTCCTCATGATATATCTGTGATTGTTTAGAGCAGGAATATCAAACTTGCGATCCACGGGCTGGATGTGTCACGCGCTGCCAACATGCACTTCAGTTTAGCGAAGGGGGGGGAAGTTGTGATACATCACGTGATGACAACACATCGCGAGTTTGACACCCCTGGTTTAGAGGAAGGATATTTGTATAGGTTTATATAATCTCACTCCTAGGTTTTATGTTTAAGGGAAAGCTTGCTTGCTTCCATTCCAGGTTTTATCCATAAACAAGCACTCAATTTTTTCTCAACCTCTCTATTTTATATCTCTTATATCTTCAGCAGACATTGAAAAGATTTTTAGAAAAGAAATACCTTACTGGTATAGAATCACTGTTAAATATGTACTGGTAGTTGTAGCACAAAATGTCTATTTCATCATAATATCTTTTATGTAATCAATACATTTCTATTAATCTTTCTTGAAATACTAATATAGAGAAAAGAATAGAATTGCACTTAAATAAAATTAGACTATTTTCTTACATCAAGAAGCAGTTATTTGTGAAATACTTTTTAAAAAGTGATTTCTGAAATAAATATAAAACAAAATTATGCTTTATTGTACATTCTTGATGAAGTTATATTTTCTCTGAATGTGATTTAGAATTTAAATCTAAATCCCATCAAAATGGTGCAGCACTTTCAGAATTAAATTTTAGAATTGGGTATGCTTCAGAAATTATTCAAAAAGTGCTTTAAGAATGCAGCTTTACTTAAAGCAATTGTATCTTTTTGCAAGCTTCTGAGATAGCCTAAAAAAAGGTGTGCATGCTTTAAAGAAATTACTGATTTTTAATGTGATTTCTTAAAGCATTAAAGAAGCTATTTTTATTTACATTCAAAGTCTCTGTAATGGTATGTGCATATGATCTTGGGAGATGAGGAAAGGATGCTCCTAGGGAATGATCAGAAAAGAGGAAGCATAGTGTGCAGCTGTGTAATAGGCTGAGGAAGCAACTCAGAAAAGAACTTCCCTAACTACTCACCTTATAAAAGAGACTATGGGAGATTTGTAATATCAGATTTGCAAGTTTCTGTTAACCTGCAATAAAGTAAAATTAGCTCATCTGCTTAGGTTTCCTGCTTGGTCCACTTGGGAAGGCCGACAATCTCTAACATGAAAAAGTACAAATGGAGATCTTCCTGCTTTTAAAGAGACAGATTTAGACTTCAGAATCTATTTATAGCAAATAGGAAAAAGTCTGTATAGATCTTTCAAAGTTTCTTTAACTTTAGGTTTCAAAAGACACTGCATATTGTTAGATTTAAAAGTTACTGACCTCAGTCCACTCAGCTCAGCATTTAAAAATATGTGTGAACAAAATACTGTTCCAATTTTTTTGTAATCTTAAGACTTCAAATAAATTTATACGAACTTTTCCCCCTGGGTTGTTTTTTTTTTTGTACTCTAGGAGTACTTAATATTAGAATAATTCAATAACAAAGAAGGCTCTTTAACATTTATATCTTCACGTTTTTGAAGCACTTTGGATCACTGGGGAGAAGCATGTATTATAATTTACCTGTAACAGAAGAAATTAAATTGATCACACTGAGCACTGAGAGGAGAAAAAGAACAAGATCAATTGATGTTAAGGTTTCTTTTTAAATAAAAAAACAGAAAAACATGAAATGATTAATATTGCCAAAATAAGGCTAAGTAATTTCTCAGTTGTAATTTATAAGGCAGGTTTTGGTTACTGGATATAGTATAGTCTAACTGGAATTGGGGGTGGGGGATGCCTGAACATTTTAATATTATTGGCTACTTTAGACATATGATTAGATATTTTTCAATTTTTCCCCTTTAACTTTCTATATAGTGTCTGTCAACATTTCTCTTTAACGTTGCATATTGCTTGTGTTAGTTATGTTTGTTGTTTCTTTCTTGCATTGCATTTTTTTTGTATTTATGGAATAAGTCATGTGAGTTAAAAATATTGTGGTGCATTATCCTAAATTTAAAGGGAAGAAAAGGAGTAAGATGAAGATGGGAAAAGGAAGATAATAAATTCATTAAGTAGAATTATTTTGCCAAACAAGCACCTAGATCCAAAGAACTCATGAAAGAAATAGAGAAAGTATAACAGCTAAACTCAGAGAGCACCAAGGACTCCACATATCATTCATGGTATAACCAGCTAAATAATTTAATACAATTTTAATTTTTAATTTCAATTTTAAAATAGAAACCTAGATTTTTTTAAAAAAATATTTGGATGGATGGAAAGAGACTGAGATAGATAGACAGACAGACAGACAGACAGACTTAGATATACACACGCACCAAACTAAAAATATTTCCATAAAATATAATAAGTAAGATGCTTATAGATACAAAAAAAATCTTATGAGGGAAATGTTTAAAAGCGTTTGTAAAACAAAAAATAACAACCCCTAAAACCATACTTTAATTACCAAAGCAGAATTCAGTAATCTGGAATTTGAGTAAAAATTTCCACTATAGGTGACAATGTGTTCTGTATATTTTCATAATATATATTTTTATGTAGGGAGATAGATTCAACTATGTTAATTAAATTAGGATAAGAGTCAAATATGCAAATTTCTTGACTGTATCTCATATTACCATTAATAAACTAAATAGAACTAATTACAGAGCAGAACTGTCACTTTATCTCTTAATTGACTTGGTGATAATATTACATCTTCTGCTTAATTATATTGTTTGCAGTCCTATGTATTTTCCTAATTTGTTTATTTTAAATATTTTATGTTCCATGTTTGTTATTGTTTTCTAGGCAGCTGGTTGTAACCATTAATAAATTTATGCAAATATAAAATGATTTTTAAAGTCATAGATGACTAAGATTCCCAGTAAATGATAAAGTAAATACTTTAAGTGCTATTGGTTCAGAAGGGATCAGATACTATTAATAAGTTGCATGGTGTCACCAAGGGGTACAGTATCCTGGCAACCAGGCTCAGAAAATGCTAGATATTTTCATCCTGAGGCCTAAGGGTATCTATGTATCTCTACCCTCCAAAGCTCTGGAATTGGCAACCAGAAAGAAACACTTTTAGGTAATAGTGATTATCAATGGAAATATCAGCAAATTTAGTTAAAAATATCTTCCTTCATGTTTTTTTAAGAAAAACATTTTCAATCCTGTTTTCAGATTAATTTATCATTTTTAAATGTGTGGGATATTCTGCTATAAAAATCCTCTAAGGCTAAGATGTTTAGAAATTTATGAAACGGTCTAAGAGCTCTCTCTCTCTCTCTCTCCCTCTCTCTCTTTTAATGCTACCATTCCAAACAACTAAAAAGTTGCTGCTGCTTTTACATAAAGCGGAGTTGGAAGTTATTGCTTCTTAGACAAAGCTGATTTTCCTTTTCTATCAATTAAAATCAATCTTGGCTAAAATTGCCAATCAAGTTACCCAATCAATCATGAGGTTTTCTGCCTGATTTTTAGGCCTCCTGGTAGATTGCTAAGTTAATTAAAGAAAGATGTGTTTTGAGAAAGAACAGAGGACAACAGATTTTAATTATTTATTACTTCAGTGTATATTTTCCCACCTATTAGGTAATGTATTCCACATTATAACTAGTTAAACGGATTAATTCTAAAATGCTAACTGAAAAGAAAGTTTCTGACTTCTTTTCTGAAGAAAAAAGAGAGGGAGGGGAGAACTAATTTCAGCTCTAAAATGGTTTTAAGCTATATTGAGGTCTGGAAGCATTTTATTTTCTGAATTATGTACATAATTTCAAATAGATTTAATTTCAATTTATTTTCATGTTTAGATTCCAGATTCCATCATATCTCGTGGTGTTCAGGTGCTCCCACGAGACACAGCCTCACTTAGCACTACCCCTTCAGAATCCCCTCGTGCCCAAGCTACTTCTCGTCTCTCTACTGCTTCCTGTCCCACACCAAAAGTAAGTACAGCAGCTTGCCTGCATTCAGAAGTGGGAACTGTCTTGATAAATGTTTTCTGCTGCTGAAAGGTAGTTCGCATGGAAGATTTTATATTGTTGAGAATCATCAAAAAGGTGAAGATAGTGCTATATTGTATATACACGTGTGTGTGTGTGTGTGTGTGTGTGTGTAAAAGTTTATATATTTACTGGTGTTTATTTCCTTTAAGCTTGCCAATTTTCATACCTATTTTTAAAGATATATTTTAAAGTGCTTTCTTTTCTTATTGCAGTATGAACCATAAGGCTGTGAATTTCTTGCAGGGCTCTATTAATCCATAAAATTGCTCTTGAAAAAGAGAACTAAGGAAATAATTTATTTTTGTAAACACATTTATACCCAAGATCTGGCATTTTCTGCCTCACTGTCCTATTAATGTACAGGTAGTCATCAACCAACACCACAATTAGGACTGGAATTTGGGTCACTAAGCAATATGGTCATTAAGCAAGTTATCTCATGACCTGACTCAGTTTTACAACCATTTTACCACAGTTGTTAAGTGAGTTACAGAGTCATTAAGCTTTTCCCATTGATTTTCCTTGTCAAAAGCTGGCTGGAAGATCCCAAACAATGATCATGTGACCATAAGGACACTACAACTGTCATAAATGTGTGCCTGTTGCCAAGTGCCCAAATAGTGATCACATGAACCCAGGGGTGATACGATGGTTGTAACTTTGAGGACAGATCATAAGTCACATTTTTCAGCATTGTTATAACGCCAAAACATCATTAAATGAATGGCCATTAGTCGAAGACTACCTGTATTTCAAGCATTTTCAAGACAACAGTTTTGCCCCAACTTGGATACTTGCTGCCTCCTCTTTGGAAACTCTAAATTATATGGGAAGTTTTAATGCCAGCCTATGAAATGACACGTTTGTGCTTTAGATATTATTTCACATGGATTGTTCAGGACTTTTGCAGGTGATCCAATGCACTTGGCATAATACAGTATATCCACAGCAAATTTGGACAAATGGCAAATCTAGTGAAATATATAGCTTCTCTTGGAACATGAATTCTCTTCTGTTTGCTCTTTTATATGAAAAGGCTTTATTTCTGGCATTTTAATACTAGCATATTTAACAAAAAACAGAATAAATCTAATGAAATGTTTCCTGGTTCATGGTTCTTTGAAATTACAAATCTCTGGTGATTATTATTTATTTATTTCTGCAAGCCGTATTAAGGTATGTCAAGCTATTAATTTATATTTTTTCAATGTTCTGGCATTTGTTATGATGCATTTCATATGTTGGATAATACATATATTCCTGAATAGCAAAAGTAGGCTTGATATAGAAATGTGTTAAAACTTTTAATTGATCCTTTAGAGCTTTGTATTGTTTTTCTTGTTAGTTTTGAGATTATCCTTTTTTCTTTTCAAAATTAATTAAGACCAATTACAAGATAATGGTATAATAAACCCTCAGTTTAATGGTTATTCAGAATCAAATATTTGTTGAATCCATAAATTTTCATCAACTTCATCTGGTTCAGTTCATCAATTCGCATTGTTACCATATTATATAGATGACATAAATAGATGCAAATAACCTAATCAATATTATTTGTCTGGACAACTTCAAGTACAATGGCTTTTGACTTTTTTTCCAAGTGATTTTCTAGAGGGAAATTTTGTATCTGAAGTCCTCTAAACAAAAAATCCATTAAAATGAGGATTTATCTATGTCTGGAAATGTACTAAGTTTGGATGAATAAAATAAATAAAAATTGTAGACTCAGTTTTTGAGGTCTGTGCCTTAATTTCTCTTTTTTATAAAAGTAGATGTTGCACATTTATTTTTGAATTTGAAATAGTAGTTATTTTGAAATTGGATATTGTACAGGGCATGTACACTCAAATAAAATGGATATCTATGCTCTGCAACCTAATATGAAAAAATCTATACTATTTTTTCTTCAAGGAATACAAATTATTAAATTATATAAATGGGCTAAAATGTAATGATTGAATTCTTTGCAACCATACTTTTATACATAATTTATTGGAATATGATTTCCCATGACATAGTCAAATATATTTTAAATTAGATTGAATGTCAATTACAAACTTTTAAATAGTTTAGCTTGCTGTAAAATTGCTTGTCCTCCAACCCAGATTATGTATTGGGGATTCTTTTTTTAGGTGGTTTTGTGCAAGCCCTGGAGAAAGTGTTCCAATGTGAATAAAGAGCAAAGAGAGGAAGCAAAACGTGCCTTTCTCCCTCCTCATTTAAAAACCCACTTGATAGAGTTTCCCTGTTCCTGATTTTTCTGATAGTTTGATCTTTGTGGGCTTTAAATGCTCTTGCCCTAGATTGATAGGTTAAATTTTTGAAAAATCCTTTCAATGTCCCAATCTCATTCACTACTCATGCACCTTATACTGAGTTAATCCAATAAACATATTATATCTCTGTTTCAGAATGTGAAAATGTTTTCAATTCACTTTATCATATGCCTTCTTTAAAATGATAAATGTACTATAACCTTTCTGATGGTCACATATTTCTCAATGACCTACTGAAGAGTAAAAATTTGATTTGGGTATCCCTGGCATAAAGTTGTGATGCACTTCCAAATTTTAATAATGATTCTTACTCATACACTTTCACGCAAAATTTTGCTAAACAGACAGTTTTGTTTCCTATCTCTTTGCATAGAGCAACATTAATGGCACACACACACCCCGTATGCATTATACAGTAATTCTCCTTTCACCTTTTTTACAGCAATAATTCATTTAAATGACATTTTTCTCATAATAGCCTTTTTCAGTTGATCTTCCTACAAGCCTTCATACTTCCAATTAGCATAACCTCAAACACTTGTGTGGCACTTTATACCATATTTCTTTTTGTTCTTTTCCAAATCAGTTTCCATATCATCTTTCTTATGGCCACTTTGTTTTCATTCTGTTGGAAGCTTACATTAATATATTTTGCAATACTTTTCATTTAGGACTTTTTTTTCTCCAGTTCTATTCTCACTCTAGTTTTTTTCACCTCTTTTTCTTTCCTTCCTTGTTCATTTTTTTCCTCACATCCACACTTGTCATTACCCCAAAAAGGGTCTGCCCCACATTCAGAACCTCTTGTCAGCCTGTTATCTTTCACCTCTCTGCCTTTCATCATAGTCAAACCAGTCACACTTCTATATTCATTTTATGCTTAAGCCGTGTATTTAAAGCTGTCCTTTTTTCTAAGCAAATTCGTGCCAGTCATCATTCTCATTCATTCTTCTGGCTCTGAAGGGCTCAATCACTTCTTCTGTACTCTGTCATCTCATTCTCACTATCACCTTTGTAATCTATTAGAATAATTCTTTTTTCCATACAGTTTTTCCCCAAAAAATTCAATTCTTATTCTTTCTGGAACATAATATGGAACTATCACTAACATAAGAATTTCTGTTTGACTTCATGCTTTTTTACCTTTTATTTTCCAATTAAATTTGTATTTTCACTTCTGCCTACATATTAACTTTATTTGAAAGTTCAAACTTTCATTCATATATGTTACCTTCTTCAGCATTATCTTGGATTTACACCCTGCCTTCATTTTATTTCATTTCATTAATTCGTGTTCTTTATCACATACTCTTATATCCCAAATCATAATCTTTCACACACCATAGTATTTCAAAATCAGCTCATGAATGCCATTTACAGCTGTGGTGAACTGAGGCTTTCACAAGTCTCAGTTCACTGCATGTATCTTCCTAATTAATCACAAGGTCCTAGCTTTTTGTGAAATGTTTTGTGCATTGTTAGACTAAAATTTGGTTGCATTTCTGACATACTAGCTCAAATTTGCCCAATATGAGCAGTGTTGTGTCCTTACTATTATCAGGGAATGCCACATGTGTCATTGGTCAAGTCATTGAAACAATTTAGATTGGGCTAAATAAAATACATTTAATTTGCTTAACTAGCCACTAACAATACTAATATTTATTTTTGCTAATTATTATTGAGCTAAAGTATTGAATATTTTTTGAAATTCTTTCTAACTTATTATATTTCTTTTTTCCCATTCATTAGTAACTCATAAAAATATTAAATGATTTAAAACTCCAAGTAGATATATTAAAAAACCCTCCTGTCACTGAAAGTTAAAAATAAGATTAGGATAAATTTCCAATTCCTTCAAATGAATTTGTAGGACATCATTGTTCCCTTTATGACATTAAATTTTACACAATTCCCCAAAAGTAAAGTAGACAAAAAATAAATTATAAATAGAGACAAATTTCATGCAGAGTCCAGCTTCCAACACTTCTAATATCAGGTTATCAGCTTGATCTGAAACCAAGTGTTCTCCCAATAAGTGTTGTGTACATACCTGTCTGAAGCCACAGTTCAAAAATAGATCACAGAAAAACACATTATTAACTGCAATTAATAAAATCTGACATACCATGTGTACCATTAATTTATCCCTTCATCTACATTTGCCAACCATTCTGACTCATAAGCCATAATATCCTACAAAACCTACACATTCATTGACATTCCTTTGTCTCCTTCCAAAAAAAACATCAAAAAAGGGGGGGAGGTGACAGAAGCTGAATGAGTACAAAAATAGTTGTATTGGAAAAGAATGTTCTTGGTTTTGTTATACAAATTTTAGATTTAGTGCATCTGGAAAAATAGTTTACAGCAATAAAAGTCATTATGACTAAGCTTTTATCTTCAGTGTTAAACATTTTATTAATCTAGCCAAAGGGGTATTTAGTTTCCAAAGGTTTGAATTTTTTATAGTGTTGCTATTCTAACTAGGTATAAAATGAAAAATTGAGCATTCTGATATGTGAGCTCAGCAAATTGAAAACCCGTTGTTTTTTCTTCTCTTTATATTTGATCAGTTGATTCATGTAGTAAACTTGTCAGAATTGATACTTTACATATATGCTTTTTTGCTTTTACTAATTCCATATCCTATCTACATTG